TGTTCATGTATCACTTGTGCTTCCACAATTATTTGCACTGCTGTTCGTGTATCACTTGTGCTTCCACAGTTACTTGCACTGCTGTATGTGTATCACTTGTGCTTCCACAATTATTTCCACTGCTGTACACATATCACTTGTGCTTCCACAATTATTTCCACTGCTGAGCATGTATTACTTGTGCTTTCACAATTATTTCCACTACTGTACATTTAGGAGAAATAACAAAGTTGTTTTTGATAGAATTTTTATTTGCTTGCAGTAGTACTTTGATTAATAGTCAGTCAAATGCAAAAATAGCCTTTTTCATTGCAATCAGGAAATAATACATTATTATTGAATCATACAATTATAGTCTGATACAACTAAAAGATGCTGCTCTTCCATTAATGATGTGCATATATCACAATATAAATGAGACAGCAAGATCATGATGATTGAAATAACTAACGTCTTTACCAAATAACATCAACTTATTAATCAAGTTGATCTCTTAAAGTACAATATTATAAATTTTTAAGGAAAAGCTCTTAAAAGTCATTGAGAATTCTTTCAAATATTGTAACTTTCTGAAATATGTATGAAATAGTTGATATAAGTTTATTACACATATATTGCAAGTACAACTTATAATACACAGACTTCTTTGTAAGTAGATATCTAAATGAATCTTACAACAAAAGACTTGAGTGCCCTATCTGGCATCAGTGGAGAATAGAAATGGAGCATTGCTGCATTTGCATGATCTGTAACCTGAGAAAAAAATAATGTTACATTTTTTTTCAATACTCTGAATCAAAGTAAGCAGACCTTATACTAAACAGGAACCTTACAGCAAAATAACTTTAAAAAAATCACTAAACTTGATTTTAATAGTCCAAAATGTGATTTCACCATTTATATGAATTGAAACTGAACATCACTCCTGAGGATGACGTTGTAACGTTGAATCATGTAGAGTCGTCAACTTTTTGAAGGCCATAGATAGGCCTAAATAAAATGTTTTTAATTGTGTACCAGTTTAACATTGAATATTACTTATGATTTTAACTTTATACACAAGTGCCAAAATACTATAATCAGTATATATATACTTCAGCTCCATACATTAACCAAAATTTCCTTTCTTATCAGTTACTCAATTATATTCACATAGAAATAAAAATATTGAAAATGTACTTAAATGTAGTCTAATAATCAAAAATCAACAAGTCCTTTTTAAAAATACTAAGATTTCTGAAAACAAATCATCTCTACATTTAAATAAATTGGGTGTTTACTGGACTCCAATCCAAATATTTCATGGTTTTTCACTTCTTTCTAACTTCTAGTGACCTTGCAAAAAAAAAGAAAAGCTTTTTTTAAGTGAATAGAATAGTTTATAGTGTAAACATAATAAATAAGTAGAATATTCCACGAATGAAGAACATTAAAGTGCAGTAGTTAATAATGGGTTTTTGACTGGAAGCCAACCTTATTTTTTGGAATACTGAACTCAAAGCCATGTTATACGCAGAGTACAGTCATGTCTTTAAAAATTTTCCATGACTTCATGCAAAAATAATTTTCAAGAGTTTTCATGTCAAAGTATTTGTGTTTATGGCCAAACTACTAAGGCTCTCTGCTGTCATCCATACTTTTGAACTACTGACCACAGCAAAGGCAACCAGTCAACAACACCCTACCACCCACACTAAGGAATTGGCTGTTACTATTATAATGCACTCACAGCTTAAAGAGCAAAAAATATCTTGTGGTAAGTCAAGGATTTAAACCAGGCTCACCAGGATTGAAGTCCAGAACTCTACCACAGTGCCATCTCACACCCTCATGACTAAGTAAAAATAAATTATGATGAATTCAAGATTGCCAGGATTTCTTTACAGAAAACACCTAAATGTATACCAATAAAAGGTGTTGCTAAATGTATTTCAACCACAACAACTGTTTCTTATAATGACTATTACTTGTCGCCTTATGCTTCTAAAAGTCCATTCTTATTTCATATACAACTTAATAATTAGGTGTCACAAGTGTAAGATATATTTACAAAACTGACTTGATACCAATTGAGAATTACATGAAATAACAGAACTCACAACTTACCTTTTGAAACACTTTATAGCGAGATCCTGACCACATATCCAGCTACAAGTGAAATACATGTACAGAATTACAAAAACAAAGTCTCTGAATAACTTATGATATTTTATTTATGTTACAGATAAATGCAGACAAGAAGTTCACAGGTTACAGTATTTTCATAAACACTTTACTAATTACTCTTTGGTACATTTATTAATGCACTTTTAATGACACATTATTATGATCACAGATTTATAAAACTAGTTTATAAAACAAAATTCAATGCACAGTGAAACTGATCATTGATGATACTAATCAAGAACACAATCACATTTCTACATGTAGCATTGATATAACTAAGTTCATTCAGTTTTCCAGCAAATTGGCACAGCTTTTAACATTAAGTGTAGCAACTTAAATATGAAAGTTTGAGAGTTTATGATCCATAAATTTGAGATGACTGTGCAGCAGTTCAGAACAATGAGTAAACAATGCTATTCTATGCTCCTAGCTTTACCTTTCTTATCTTTACACTCAGTAAGTGCATGAATTAAAAACGTATCACAAAGAAAGGTAATGCAACTTAGTATGCCTAAGTGCTTAACAGTAGGAAAACTTACTTATAAAGGACTCCTTCTCAAATCAGTGTAAAAAAGAATAATAAGTCCTGAAATTTTAAAAACATATCTTTTGTTTTGCCTACATACTTCCGCAGTTATGCACACACACACACACATTTCTTTAAAGTCTTTAGGCCTAAGCCATTTGTTCTCTATCAATTACAAACCATTATAATCTTGGCATTTAAAATTCAATACTTTTATCTATCAAAATAATTACAGAAATGTTCTGCTGTGTACTTTTGACTTTTAAAACTATTGCCAACTATATATACACAATAAAATACATTTAGAACCAAAGTAACATATATAACTTGTTTCATCTTTAATAATACACCAATTAATGTCATGTTGTATGGTCTGTTTCAGCTCTGTTTTTCAAATAAGGAATACTTTTTTCAGGCTTATTACATGAATCTACTCAAGTATTACTAACATTTTTCAGTAGTTAAAGTACCAAAAAAAAGTCTTTTTTTAGAAATATTTGTGAAAAATTGAAGATAATGGAAGTATTTACTGAAAGTTAGGTGTCCCACTTAAGTATCACTTGCTAAAACATTAAAAAAATAGACTTCTAAGATACCCAAATAGGAAACATTATTATAAGATTAGTATTACATAAAGAAATAAGTTGTTGTTTTTTGACACAATAACTACCTTCAGATTTTATTCTTCAGCACATATATATATATGTATATGGCTTAAATTTGCCAATTATACCTTTTTATAAGTCTAGATGCTTTTTGGCCTGGATGTATTGAAAATAACAAGAATATAATGCCTCATGGGAAATGGCAGGTAAAAGTTAAGAAACATATATATATTAATTGCAAGAAAAAACATTCTTAATGATGTGACATTAGAGTAAAACGAACACAAAAAATCAGTATTATTCTAAAACAAACATTGGTTGGGTTATGTTTCTCACATACCTTCTCATCTTCTTTACAGAAGTCTTCATTAAATCCTTTGACCACCACCCATTCAATAACAAGTCCTCTAAGCAACACTAAAGCTTTAAGAGTTCTTGCAAGAGTAATCTAAAATAAAATAAAAGAAATAAATGAATTTATGTACATTAAATTATTTCAACATTTTGTCTGATCTAAAAATGGTGCCCTATAATAATATTTTTCCAAACATTTATTTTTTTCACTAAATCAAAAAACGACAAATGCATATAATGTTCTACCTCAAACCTAAAGATTATCCAAGCTTAGGCAATATAAATGTACCACAATTGCACACACTGAAGAACTCTATATGTTTTAATGGGAGCAAAGAAGACTACACATCTCTCATGTGCAAGACGTACAACTCTCTTTCTGCTTGTTGAATTTTGCATATAATCTGTCAATATAACAGAAGCTCAACACTAATACCAGTGCTGGAATATTCTTTTTTCTGTGGTTTTATATACAGTTAAAACTTTAGTTCTCTTAACACTGCTTTGTAACATTTGTTCTCTCAAGCTTCCTTGAAGCATTTTTTTGTTAACACAAGAAGGAAAATATATTTCAGATAGATATTCACCTCTCTGCACAACAAAGAGTTATTATTTCCTACCACTGCCATGCACAGCAATCCCCATGAGCACTAGCATTTCAACAAAGGTTCATTCTTGATAAGGCAAAATAAATACACTGAAAGTGGGAAGGAAAGGTGGGATCTTGAGCAGAGAGGTAAGTATCCATTGAATTATATATTCAGGTAGGGAAAATGTCAACTTGAGAAAGTTTCTCTTACCTCTGCACAACAAAAAGCTAAAAGTTCATATTGAAGAAGGTGAAGTGTATACTGCAGATAGGGAAATTAGAAAGATAAGCACCTTTCTTAAAGAATAACATCAGGAACGAAAAATCCATGGAGCATGTCCTCCATTGGGGGGAGGGGGTATAGATGGGCATTACTTGGTGTGAAACTGCATCCAACTCAAGTAGGGAATACTATTCACACAATAGGGGTGACAGGGCAAAATATATTGTCAAATGAACCTTTTGCATGGTGCTAAATGGTGGCATAGATGGGTGGAAGTTAAGATTGCTGAACTGGTCATTATATCATAGTAACTTGGCTGAGCATGGGTGTGTAGTTTAGCTGGGTCAATAAGCCAGGTCATTCTGCAATGGAGAAATAATATACTTACTTGAAATACTTATGAGAATAATCAGGTGCAGGGGGAAATATTCCAGAACAACATCCTGAGAAGAACACAAGACTCATCCAGCTGGTTGAACCACCAGAAATGGCTTAGTTTATAATGTAGTGGTGTGGCCTGTACTACATTACTACATTTCCAGGTAACATTCTAGCCCTACTTCCTATCAAGAGCATGTCCACTTTGTTTCATACCAATGAGATTACATTAACCCAATGGAAAACTCCTCATTTTAACCTCTGCCACAGCTTGGGACTGTGGAAGCAAGGATTCTCCCCTCTGGAAGAAAACGGGGAGGAATATGTGTGTGGGAGAACACTGGAGAGGTGTTTAGACTGTATCATAAATCACAATTATTTGGAATTAGGTTCCATACTGAGAGACAGTGCAATGTTTTACCACAACTAAAGACACACCTGGTACTTTTATTTTCTGCAAGTATGGCCTACATGAGACATTGCTCCCCCAGTTTTGCATAAATCCCCATCTCAACAATGAGCACAGAGCAAGGGCAGATGGACATAAAATTTGCTGTGCTCCATGTGGATTTTGAGAAAGTATTCTGTCATGATATAAAAGACTGTTTAGTTTAGATATTATTGATTAATTTATTTTTGTGAGTGAATATTTTATTATTGTTTAGT